GAGTCGACAGACAATTATTATGGAAAATAATGGCAAGATATGGAGTAAGCGAACACCTCATCGAAGTGTGCAAAAGTTTATACAGGGATTGTAGAAGTGTAGTTAGAATAAATCAGGGAACATCTCATCCTTTCACAGTGACATCTGGAGTAAGACAGGGGTGTGTCTTATCACCACTGCTGTTTATCACCTACATCGACAGTAAATGCAAGAATGCAAGCCCATGAATGCAGATATTAGTAAGATCAACAAATTACTCTTTGCAGATGACCAGGTCTTGATAGCAGATACAGCCATGAAATTGCAACAACATCTAACATTCATTAAATGAAGAATGTAAAACAAATAATATGAGAATCAACACTGAAAAGACAGAAGTAATGTCAATAGGAAAAAAGAAGACAGATCTAAACATAGCAATAGAATACAAAGGCATTAAACAGGCATCTGAGTTTAAATATCTGGGAACTACATTTACCGAAGATGGGAAATTGGATAAAGAAATTGACATTACTTTACTTACTTACTTTTACTTTTTCCTTCCACGTATGCCGCTAAGCGTTGTGGGGAGATGCAAGTTCCTGTCATAAGCAAGGCGGGCAGCATCTGATGTTCTGAGGCCATGCTTTTGGCAGGTTTCGGAGACCCCGTCAATCCACAGTTTCCTTGGTCTTCCTCTTGCCTTATATCCTGAGCTTCTTTGGTTGAAAATTTGTGATGTTATTTGGTCATTTTTCATCCTGGTTAGATGTCCAAACCATTTCATTCTTTGATGTTCTATGTAGTCTAAACATGGTGTAGTTTTGACAGTGTTTCTAATGTCTATGTTCTTTATCCTGTCTAGTCTGGTCTTATTCGCTGCTTTTCTTAGACATTTCATTTCACAGGCTTCTATTTTTTCTTTCATGGGTCTTGTTGATTGTCCATGTCTGGCACTGGTAGCAGAGTGTTGGAATGAAGATGGTGTTTATCAATTGTCTTTTGGTCTTCATGGTTATATCTGGATGTTTAAGCAGAGGTGATAGTTGGTATGTGACAGCATTTGCTTTCTGTATTCTTGTTTCTATCTCTCTGTCCATTCTTCCATCCTCTGTAAATATACTGCCCAAGTATTTGAACTCTTTGGTTTGCTTGATTTTGGCACGTCCAACATTTATATTCAGTGGCCTGTGTGTTCTGCTGATCTTCATAACTTCTGTTTTTTCTGTACTGATTCTCATATTATGTTGTAAACAGCTGTTGTTGAGAGTAGTCAGATGTTCCTGTAGATCATATTCATTTTGATACAGTATGCTTTGATCATCAGCAAAAAGTAATTCGTTTATAGCATACACGTCTGGGTTTGCTTCTACAGTGATCTTATCCATGTATGTTATGAAAAGTAATGGTGACAGTACACATCCTTGTCTGACACCAGTTGTGACTTTGAACCATTCAGAAAGACCACTAGATGTTCTTACTGCACTTTCACTTTTTTCATAGAGGGCTCTGATGTTGTCTAATAATTGACCCTGCACTCCGTAATCGTCAAGAATTCTCCACAGCACATCTCTGTCCACACGGTCGAATGCCTTCTCTTGATCTACAAAGACCACGTTCAGCTCTTTATCGTATTCGAGTGTCTTTTCACAGACTTGTCTTAGTGCAAATATGGCATCAGTGCAACCTCGGCCCTTTCCTGAAACCGAATTGTGCTTTATTCAGTAGAGGTTCAACCTTTGCTCTTATCCTACCTTCTAAGATCTTTGCATACATTTTCCCCACATGACTTAGTAAAGATATTCCTCTATAAGTTCCACATTCTCTCTTGTTTCCTTTTTTCTTCCAGATAGGTACTACAACTGATCTTTGCCAATCCACTGGTACCTTTCTCTCTGCCCATGCTCTATTGAAAATTCTCTCCAGCCAGGTGATCATAGTGTCCCCTCCAGCCTGGATGACTTCTGTTGTTATTTCGTCGATACCAGCTGCTTTGTGTCTTTTACTTGTTTTGATAACTTTCTCTACTTCATCCCGCAGGATATGTGGTTCTAGATGATCTGGAGCCCTTGAATGGAATTCTGCTGTTTCATGTACTCCCGACGGGTTCAAAAGTTCTTTAAAATATTCCTCCCATCTTTTTTTAATTTCTTTTTGGCTGAATAATGGTTTTCCATTTTTATCATTTATGACTGATGTTGGATTGAAGCTTTCTTCTCTTAATCGCATCGCTTTCACACTCTTATAAAAGTCTCTTGATGATTCTGTACATAGCTGTGTTAGGTGTTCACCGTACTTTTTCCATGAATCCTCTTTGGATTTCTTTATTGTTCTCTTGGTGTCTCTTCGAGTTAGTCTGTACCTAATGTAATCCTTTTCGTCTTTTGTTTTTAACCATATTTGAAACATCTTCTTTTTATTTGACACTGCTTCTTTGACTTCTTCATTCCACCAAGCGGTACCCCTTTTCTTGCCTTTGCCCGTCTTTCTGGTACCACACTTGTCTTTTAATATCTTCGTGATGGTTGATTTATAATAGTCCCATTCTTCTTCAATTCTTACTGGTTCCTTGGCAATATCTGCAAAAGCCTTTGTTATTTCTAGTTCAAATTCATGTTTGATATTCTCTTCCTCTAATTTCTTAGTGTTGATGATTTCTTCACGTTTCTGTTTATGTAGACTGTTTCTACTTGAGTTGCATATGTTCATAACTACTGGGCGATGGTCTGAATCCAGTCCCGCATTTGGGACAGCTTTTGAGTCTCTTACCTTCCTCTTCTGCCGTTGTCTGACTAGTATAAAATCAATTTGTGACGCTTGATCTAAGTTGTTCCACTTGTACCACGTTTTAACCTGACTTTGGCGATGTTGGTAGAATGTGTTGGTAATGTAGAGATCTTGTTCAGCACACAAGTTTAGCAGGTGTTCTCCATTTCTATTGCAATCTGTGGTTGTGTAGCTAAATGGGCCAAGGTATCTCTCCCATGGTGATCTTCTTTTACCTACCCTACCATTAAAATCTCCCATTACTATGATGTCCTCTTTCTCTTTAACATTATTGATGGTGTCCGTAAGTCTCTCGTAAAAGTCTTCTTTTTCTTCTTCAGAGTAACTATCATTACAAGGTGCATATATCTGAATAATCGTTGTAGTTTTGCTTCCTTCTGTCAACTTGATTAAAATAATTCTTTCTGATATAAATTCTGTTCCTGTTATTAATTTTGCTGTCTCGGGATGAAGTATAAATCCGACACCATGTTTTGCCCTATCTTTAGTGGGTACTCCGCTCCATACTAAAACATAATTTTCATGTATTTCTTTTGTATTATATCCTTTCTTTCTTGTATCCGCAAGACCCATGACGTGTATATTTTTTCTTTTAATGAAATCCACTATTTGTGGCTCTTTGTTGGCAATACCACATATGTTCCATGTGCCTATGTAAGTCGTTTTTCTGTCTCGTCGTCCTTTAACGTTTCCAGTCCATTTTCCGTTTGGGGCTATCCGTTTATTTATCTCCTTTCTAATTTTCGTAGCAATAAAAAATCCACTGCCGGCTTGCTAGGCCAGTCGCAGTTTAAGGGAAAATCTGACCAGATGGACCCCATCCCATCTGGCGAGCCAGAGCCTCGTTCGCCTGTGGCCTCACGGCCACAGTTTCCCGGTCTGCACCACTGGGAGGAGAGGTTGACTTATGTGTACTGTGGGTCATCGGCAGGCTACTAATTTTCACTTTTCACCTCTCCTAAGAGAAGCTAGCCGATCCCAACCCTGCTGGATGCAGAGCCAGGCACAGTCCACATCTTGCAGACCGAAATTGACATTAGATGCAGTAAAGCAAACCAAGTATTGGGACAGCTAGCCCCCCCCCCCACCCCCCCCCTCTTACAGCATAAGACAATTACAATCAGCACAAAGAGACATCTTATTCAAAGCATATTTATTCCAACTCTGTGCTACCAGTGTCAGACATGGTCACTCACAACAAACCATAAAAGAAAATTAGTAACCACGGAAATGAGATGTCTGAGAAGGGCTGTAGGAGTGACCATAAGAGATAAGATCAGGAATGAGATCATAAGAGAACAAGTCGGCACAGAACCAATTCTGGATTACATACAAAGACAGCAAGTGAAATGGTTTGCCCACTTAGAGAGAATGCCTTGTGACACCATACCATACAAAGCATACATGGAAAGAGAAGAAGAACGTAGAGCACGGGGTAGACCAAGACAATATAGAAGGATAACATCAGAGAAACTCCACAACAGCACGATGTGCCTATGGTCGATGCAGCCAGAAGAGCTAGAAACAGAACCTTATATCTCCCTCGACACCCACAGCGGTAAAAGAGGAAGTGAAGAAGAAGGAGAAGAACACGATTGTGTGACCTGTGTGTAAAGCATGGTGAAGCACGCCTATTCTGTCTTCGAGGTCGATAGGAGACACTAAAACCAGTTTTTCGTGGGAGAAATAAGAAGGGGTTTCTTGGGGTAACTGCTGCATCGGAGGACTGAGCAGGGATGTGAATGCACGGTCTGCAGTGACGTGGATTGATAACAGATAGTGAACAACCAGCAGACGACGCTCTCTATCACGAGTAGCCGCCCCTGAGCAACTCTCCTATGACGGAGATGAGATAATGGTCGGCAGACAAGCTTCTCGACACGTCAGTGTTTCTATTTTCTCGACCATTTGGAATAAATTCCCACCATTCAGACCTATCCGTTTCCACAGAAAACTTCTTCCTTGTTGAGATGTTTCAGACAATCGTTTAGTTGAAGAATATATTTTGAAATTACTTGTTCACAGTTCACTTCGACGTTTACTTATTATTAGTATGATTATGATACTGTGTTTCTTCTAAAGTTTCAAGTTTTCCTTCAGTGTGTTGTGTTGTGTTGTCCACTGCCTGTAGCTCAACTAAAATTTATTAATAATAATATTATAGATAATAATTTTCTAATTGCCTCAGCTGAACGCAAGTTAGCCATTCGTATAATTCATAAAGTTAGAGGAAGATGGTCTTGTTAACAATGATAGCAAGGGTTGCTGATGGGCTACCTCTGTCAGCGTCTGTTCAAGAAGATGAACAGGTAACATTTGTATATGTATGTGCCTGTGTGTGCTTGCGTGGGTATCACGACTATCATATGTGTGTGTATATGCGTCCATCTTGCTTAATTACCTAATTTTCCATTTTCGAACTCTGGTGATTCTCTGCTTTTTTTTTCTCAGGATGTGTCCAGTACAGCGCCATCTTCTCTGTATTACAACTGTTGGCAGTGTTGGCTATCCTCTGAATAACGGGCACTAAAGATGGCGGCTGCAAAATATCCTGACGAGCCTCAGTCACGTGTCATGTGTTGTAAACATTCAAAAAGTGAAATCAAAAGTAATAAGGAATGAAAAAAATGTTATATCAAACTGACTACTTACCGATAATTTTATGCCTTTATATCTGGAAATTATGGCAGAGAAGTTGTAAATAGTGCCTGAAAATCTGCTGTTTGTGGCTATTACACCATTGAAACTTGGCTAAGTACGATTGGAACAAGGCATATACAAACCAGCTATCCTCCGAATAACGGGCACAAAAGATGTCGGCCAAAACCAGGGCCTCAGTCACGTATCAATTCTGCACTTCCGGCGACTTAATTTGCGGTTTTCCGTGGATTGGGGCTAAACTAGATGGCTAGGATTCACAAGCAAAGCTGCAGGAGATACGGAAGCTGCTGCTCGTGGGTCCCAGCCATCTAGTTTAGCCCCATCCGCGGCGTGGGGGAGACTCTCGGCGGCGAGTTTAACTCGGTGGTTTGTTCCGTTTCTCAAAATTGTCAACAGACACTAATCCTAGTTTTCCCGCTTTGTGCTCGTGACCGCAAGTGCGCAATTGACACGTTATTGTGGCTTGTCAGGATATTTTGCGGCCGCCATCTTTAGTGCCCGTTATTCGGAGGATAGCCCAACTGTTGATACTTGCGGTTACCCAGACATTTCTCTTCTTTGGTCACCACTTTTCAATGAAACTCATTTTATGTTAATCATTTGCCTCAGGCATTTGTTTTTGAATGCATTTAACTTTTGTTTTTGAACAGAAATGCTACAGAGAAATTCTGAGAATACTGTGGACCAAAAAAAAAAGAAAAAAATACATTGACATCTCACATGATCTGAGCATTGAGGAGAATTGGCTCATAAACAACATCCTGTCAAGCAATGCACCAACGCTTGCAGGAAGAAGTATGGACACAGCAGATATTGTCAACACTGTATGGACTGGACTAGTGGATAATGACGAATCTCTGACACTAAAACGATTCTGTGATGAGAGTCAAGCCTGGTTAAGCACATCTGTTCTGCCTTCACAGCTGAGATAGGGGACATTATAACCAACTTCTCTTGGGATCAAATAGTAGAAGTATCTTGAAGTGGCTGCTGCATTGGAGGACTGAGCATGCATGGGAAGCCCCAGTGTACACTGACGTCAATTGTGAAAACATAACTGTCCCTAATGTTGGGGTATTTTAGCCACGTTTGCCCGGCTCGCTAGTATAGTTGGTTAAACCTGACTTTGCGGCGACCGTGTCACAAATTCCTTGTGGTTCGGGTTTACGACTGGGGTTGGCAGAAAAGCCACATTTCTCCCAGATTTGCAGAATCTATCATGGAATCAAGGCCGAAGGGTTGTGATATCCATAGTACCGAGCCAAAGGATTGACAACTCATGGTATTTGGATATTTAAAAAAAAGCCAGGTTCAATGTCATGATGGACTGAAGAAAGCAGACAGGGCCAGAGAATTGGTTGGAGAAAGAGAGACTGTCAGGCCTGCAGGATGAGAGCAAGGTCCTGCTGATTGATGATGATTTTACTTCTCTGCAATAAAACCATTATACAGACATTGTCCTTGTAATACAGCCTAAACTTTCTCTGCTTTCTCCACTGTCCATTTTTATCTGGTTTTTCTTTATTATAAGCTTGGTTGCATTGAGACTTATAATCTGGGATTCTTATACAGCTTTGATGGGCTGGCTAAACCAAAAGAGGGTAGCCGACCTGGTTCTAAACCACTCGATGATTGGAATATGCCTCCCCTGCATGCAAAGACTGGACTCAGCCAATTGTGAGGATAAAAGCTCTTGTTGGTTCAACTGACAAGAAGGCGATTACCAGCAGGCTCTGTAGAGAGCTTCGAGCAAGGCAGGGCACTTAAAGACACCTTGGTCATCCACTGCACCTAGGTCCATTTCCAATTGTCTCGACATTGTCCTGCCATTGACATAGGCGAGAGAGTGAGGTCAACAAATTGCGCAAGTCACTTTCACTTTGGATACACAGTACAGCGGGCATACACAGTGCTGCTGGCATACACAGTGCTGCGGGCATACACAGTACAGCGGGCATACACAGTGTAGCGGGCATACAGTGTAGCGGGCATACATTGTGCAGCCGGCATACACAGTGCAGCCGGCATACACAGTGCAGCCGGCATACACAGTACAGCGGGCATACACAGTGCTGCGGGCATACACAGTGCTGCGAGCATACACAGTACAGCGGGCATACACAATGTAGCGGGCATACAGTGTAGCCGGCATACACAGTGCAGCCCGCATACACAGTACAGCGGGCAACACAGTACAGCCGGCATACACAGTACAGCGGGCATACACAGTGCAGACGGCATACACAGTGCAGCCGGCATACACAGGGCAGTGGGCATACACAGGGCAGCGGGCATACACAGTGCAGCCGGCATACACAGTGCAGTGAGCATACACAGTACAGCGGGCATACACAGTGCAGCGGGCATACACAGTGCAGTGAGCATACACAGTGCAGTGAGCATACACAGTCCAGTGAGCATACACAGTGCAGCCGGCATACACAGTACAGTGAGCATACACAGTACAGTGAGCATACACAGTGCAGTGAGCATACACAGTGCAGTGAGCATACACAGTGCAGTGAGCATACACAGTACAGTGAGCATACACAGTCCAGTGAGCATACACAGTGCAGTGAGCATACACAGTACAGTGAGCATACACAGTGCAGCCGGCATACACAGTTCAGTGAGCATACACAGTGCAGCCGGCATACACAGTGCAGTGAGCATACACAGTGCAGTGAGCATACACAGTACAGTGAGCATACACAGTGCAGCAGGCATACACAGTGCAGTGAGCATACACAGTACAGTGAGCATACACAGTGCAGCCGGCATACACAGTACAGTGAGCATACACAGTTCAGTGAGCATACACAGTGCAGCCGGCATACACAGTGCAGTGAGCATACACAGTGCAGTGAGCATACACAGTACAGTGAGCATACACAGTACAGTGAGCATACACAGTGCAGTGAGCATACACAGTACAGTGAGCATACACAGTACAGTGAGCATACACAGTACAGTGAGCATTCACAGTACAGTGAGCATACACAGTGCAGCTGGCATACACAGTACAGTGAGCATACACAGTGCAGCGAGCATACACAGTACAGTGAGCATACACAGTGCAGTGAGCATACACAGTACAGTGAGCATACACAGTACAGTGAGCATACACAGTGCAGCCGGCATACACAGTACAGTGAGCATACACAGTGCAGTGAGCATACACAGTACAGTGAGCATACACAGTACAGTGAGCATACACAGTACAGTGAGCATACACAGTACAGTGAGCATACACAGTTCAGTGAGCATACACAGTGCAGCTGGCATACACAGTGCAGTGAGCATACACAGTGCAGTGAGCATACACAGTGCAGTGAGCATTCACAGTACAGTGAGCATACACAGTGCAGCTGGCATACACAGTACAGTGAGCATACACAGTGCAGCGAGCATACACAGTACAGTGAGCATACACAGTGCAGCCGGCATACACAGTGCAGCCGGCATACACAGTACAGTGAGCATACACAGTGCAGCCGGCATACACAGTGCAGCCGGCATACACAGTGCAGCGAGCATACACAGTGCAGCCGGCATACACAGTGCAGCCGGCATACACAGTGCAGCGGGCATACACAGTGCAGCCGGCATACACAGTGCAGCCGGCATACACAGTGCAGCCGGCATACACAGTACAGTGAGCACACACAGTGCAGCTGGCATACACAGTACAGTGAGCATACACAGTGCAGCGAGCATACACAGTACAGTGAGCATACACAGTGCAGTGAGCATACACAGTGCAGCCGGCATACACAGTGCAGTGAGCATACACAGTGCAGCCGGCATACACAGTGCAGCCGGCATACACAGTGCAGCGAGCATATACAGTGCAGTGAGCATACACAGTGCAGCCGGCATACACAGTGCAGCGGGCATACACAGTGCAGCCGGCATACACAGTGCAGCCGGCATACACAGTGCAGCCGGCATACACAGTACAGTGAGCATACACAGTACAGTGAGCACACACAGTGCAGTGAGCATACACAGTGCAGCGGGCATACACAGTACAGTGAGCATACACAGTGCAGTGAGCATACACAATGCAGCCGGCATACACAATGCAGTGAGCATACACAGTGCAGTGAGCATACACAGTGCAGTGAGCATACACAGTGCAGCGGGCATACACAGTACAGCGGGCATACACAGTACAGTGAGCATACACAGTACAGTGAGCATACACAGTACAGTGAGCATACACAGTGCAGCCGGCATACACAGTACAGTGAGCATACACAGTACAGTGAGCATACACAGTGCAGCCGGCATACACAGTGCAGCGAGCATACACAGCGCAGTGGGCATACACGTACAGCCAGCATACACAGTGCAGGTGAATAGCAAGACAGTAAAAGAAGAAAGTCAAGCAATCAGTGCAACTACATCTAGTATGACAGTGGAGATAGCTGCTGTCACAAGTGCACTTACATGACTGGTGGAAAAGAAAGCAACTCATATATTGATAGTGACAGACTCAATGAGCATGCTTAAGAAGATCCAAACTAGCAAACACTGACTAGAATGGGTCCTGAAGTCCCCCCTCAAGAAACTGTCATGGCTTTACAAACCAGGATGTTCTGCGGTGAAAGAAAATAAAAGAGCTGACCGACTGGCTGTTTCTGCATGGTAGTTAGTGAAGGAAAAAGTATGGACAGGGCAAACATACTAAAAGCTGCGTTTCAGAGATGTTAAGACAAAGAAGTCAGAGATGATGCAACACCTGTTGGAAGTGGGTACTAAATGCGAATAACTTGAGCATGGAGAAACTGAGATAGCTGTTGTATCAGAGGACAAAGCACGAATGGGTCAGACCTGTGTGCTAGGACAAGTAACAATTAATATACCATCTTTACTCAGAAATGAATATATTTTGTTATTATTTACGTTGCAATCTTTATTACCAATAAAGTGCTTAATTCAGTAGCTATGTACAACTGCTCACCACCTCCACCCCTTTTCTCTCATGAGGGTGTGACCTTCAGGTTGACGACCACTGCTTTTGATATATCCCTGTCAACTGACTCCACCAAAGCGTTTGATGATGATGACTTATTTTTATTTGTTTAGCCTGTCAATCTTATCTTTAATTTCAGTCAGGTAGAAATCTTATGGAGTACCAGACACAAGCCAAGCAACTGTTCCGGAAACTGTCCCAGGATCCGAATCCACCAACAAAATGCAGCCTAGATACAACAAATTACATGTTCCAGTGAGTGCCCAGTGTGTAATTTCACCCAGATTTAGTACTTTAAATAATCTCATCTCATCTGCTCTTCTTGTGGCCTACAGTTGTCGAGGTGAAGTGTACACAAGGAGAAGATGCCTGTTTGTGTGCTTCCTATCTCTTTCAATCTCAAACAAGGCACCATCTATGCTGAAAATCACTCATATGCACCGGTCAGTATGTTTTGTGTGTTTGTACACCTTAAGTTTAGTCAGGCAAACTGTATCTACACTTTTGACATAACCTTCTTACATTGTCCATGGTTATGTTGTTGTTACACTGTTGTGCTATGGAAGTTTGATTCTGATTCTGCCTTTTTTTTTTTTTCTGGTGCAGATTGACCATTGCCCCTCCATTAGAAGTTTGCACCAAAGAGGAACAACAAGCACCGATACAATTCCTCTGATGAAAGGGTGTCAAAGTTAAGAAATTCATAGTAGACTACCATCGTAATATTGAGTGAAGTACACTATCCCATAAAACTTCTTCTTCTTCTTTCGTTCGCATGAAATAAATTGTCCACATCTGCAAAGCCGTCTCTTGTATGAATTTCACTGTCTTTTGTAATTCACTAAGCGGCCCGTAAAGTTTGACTTCCACAAGTGTCTCTTTTGGCCAAAGGTTTTGCCTGAAAGCGTTGAATATGGGACAGTCTTGAAGGATGTGATCTGTTGTTTCAGGTGCCAGTCCACAAGTACACATGGCCGATTGGCCAATCTTAAATTTGTTGTACATGTGGGAGCGAAGTCTATTGTGCCCTGTTCTAAGGCGAAGGATAATAACTTGCTCTGGTCTGTCCATAATATGGTAATCATCTTGTGCCAGTTTCGGTAACATTCTGATTGATTTGATCATTCTCTTCTTCTGTTGATAAGAGACTGGTATGTCAGGTTGTCCTTCAGTTGCACCTTCCTTAGCTAGTTTATCAGCTTTTTCGTTTCCACAGTGGGAAGGTATCCACTGCATTACTAATTTACAGCGGTTGCCTAGTTCGGATAATAGTGTTCGTATGCTTGGTAATTTTCCAGACTGGAGTGACTGAAGTACTGCTTTTGCATCTGTCAGGAATACCACTGGTTGTGAAAAATACCCTGTATTTAGTAGTTTCTCTACCGCTATCTTGATGGCTTGAACTTCTGCATCATAGTTGTGACAGTGCTTTCCCGTTGGTAATTTGGCTGTATCCCTGGTATTATTAGGGTACTCAATGTACACTCCCGCACCTCCGTTTCTGACTGCGCTTTCTGCTGACCCATCTGTGTAAACACGGACCCAAAGGTTCTGCGGGTATTCATCATCAAGTAGACTGAGGGTGGCTGTTTTGCGCTGCACACTGTTTTGTACATCCTTGTCAAATACCCCTTTCACTTCAGTCTTGATGTGTATTGGAAACTTATACTCCTCTCTCCAGGGGGTCCGTTCTGGGACAGCATTTAAGGATCTATCAGTTGCAGGTAAATCAGTGGTTTGTCTGCTGAGCCGTTTGGCCTGGTGGATAAAACTACTTCTCTTTAGTCGTCCCAAAGCTAAATTTTTGAATCTTTCATTCATAGGGTGACTGGGCATACTAAGAAACTTTTCTGCTTGTAAAAGCATCTTGGTGTCTCTGCGTTCACTTAGTGCTTGGGTCATCCCCATTTTCTCCATCACAGCTATAGGTGTTGATTTCATACTGCCTGTGGTAACTCTGAGTGCTTGATTTTGCACTTTGTCTAATTCTTGCAATGTGGTTTTTGATGCCGAACTCCATGCTGTTGATCCGTATTCAAGATGTGGTCGAACACTTTGTTGGTAAACTTTTCTAAGTATTTTCCCGTTAGCACCCCATGTGGTTCCACTTAGTTTTCTCAGAATGGCTACCCTCCTTCTGGCTTTTGGTTGCTGCCTTGTTGATGTGTTTTCTCCATGTTAATCTATCATCAAACGTTACGCCGAGGTATGTGGGCTCCTTATCCTCTCTCAGGGGTACTCCATTTATGTGCATGGCGCCTGATTTTTGTTTAGGAGAAAGGGTAAAGAGAGTGGTGCTGCATTTGCCTATGTTGATGCTGACACACCATTTGTCGGCCCATTTAGCCATTGCATCTATGGCTCTTTGTAGCAGTCTGGTGGCCACTGTCGCATTTTCATTTGTACACCAGAGTACCAAGTCATCAGCATACATTGCAGCTTTAATTCCATGGGGTAGTTCAGAAAGCAGGTCGTTGATATAGACTAGGAAGAGGGTGGGGGACAGGACACCTCCTTGTGGGACGCCATGGTGCAGCAAAACTTTCTTGCTCTTAAGTCCATCTATCTGTACTCGGGATCATCTGTTATACAAGTATGCTTTGACCCATTTGTACATACTAATTAGGACACGGCCGCCGCCGTGGCTATTTTGTGGAAATAATTCCGTTATAACACCCCTAAACCACATAATGCTTGTATCCACGAACAAGAGAATATCCATCGTCAATGAATTAGTAATAATCGCACTCTGTTATCAAGAGAAAAACACTGATTAAGTGAAAATTTTAGAATAAAATCGTGTGTCGCCGCAAATACGTCTTCACGCTGCCATTTCTAAACCGGAAGTCCCCCATAAAACTGTTTTTGTGGATCCAGAAGTTTAAAAGTGGTTGAACAAGTGTAGTGCATAAAATGGAAGCAGGACAGCCATCAATCTCCACTACAGATGACAGCACTCAGCAAGTTCGAGAGATGGTTCTGGCTAATAGGCGAATTACCATCGATGAGGCAGCAGCTGCGTTAAACATTTGTCATGGTTCTGCCCATCAGATCAGCCACCATGAGCCTGGTTTACATAAAGTCTGCATGGTGGGTACCAAGAAAGCTTTCTGCAGAACACAAGCCTCAGACATGAAAAATGCAGTGCAAAAGAAGCTTTGAGACCAGTCAAAAACCTTTTATTTGGAAGGAGTACGTGAACTTTTTGACCGTTGGGCAAAGTTTATTGAGAAGGAGAGAGAGAATGTAGAAAAATGTAGTGCAGAGTGAAAGCCTGGCATTATGTAAATAAATTGTAGAGTGAAAAGTGTAGATAATTGTTTACTTTCCCCTGTAAATCAATCCAGCAAAAGTCACCTACAATTCACTGTGTATTTGGATACTCATTAAGGCTGTATACTGTGTATATAGAGTTGTGTTTATCAGTTATAGATTAAAGTTTACCTTTGTATTTGAAAATAGAAGTAATTGATGGTTGTATATTTGTTATATCTCATGCAGTGAAATCACTCTTCTCGACCTAATCTTTATTTGTTATTTTTTCCAGTTATATGATAGAGAGAGGAGTCTGTTACCTGGTCCTGTGTGAGAAAACTTTCTCTAAAAGATTAGCCTTCTCCTACCTGGAAGACTTACAGAATGAGTTCAATTCCCAGTACGGTTCTAGGCTAGATACGGTGTCTAGACCGTACTCTTTTATAGAGTTTGGTGAGTAGCCTGTGCCTGAAATTCTCATGATTCAGTAGGGTTTTAAAAAAAAGTTTTTTTAAAATTTTTTTTACCATAATATGTAACCTGCAGGTTCTCAATAACAAAAAGAAGTGTGAGATAGAGAAAGAAAAATTCAGGTCATCTCGAAAATAGTTTTTGTTTTTCATTGTCTAAATGTACTTATATCTGGTTTGGTTTAGTCAACGGATTAACATCATGGCACAAGGATGCAACCCACAAGTGCTCAGTTCTACACTCTGACTCAAGCCTGAGTCTGAAGAATCTCAGCACAGTGCATGAACTCCGAAACACCGGCTAGGATCCTGAATACTTTGGGTAGATTTTTCACTCCAAATTTTGCCCGGGCAGCACCGTTAGGCTGCTCTTTTTCGATTTCCAACTGCCGAGGGATTTTTTTATGTGCTCAACAATACACATGGGCATCCGATCCAACTACCCAAAGACCAGGAAAAATTATTAGAATTCTACATAAAATCTTCACTGATGTTTAAACGAGGAACATCCTGCATTTGAGGTGGATGCCATACTTCAAGACCATGCAGCGTGCCACTTAAACCCCCCCCCCCTTTTCCCCCGTACTTATGTAAGACAGATTACACTAAGAAAACATTACAAAATATAAATATCATTAAAAGATATCAAACCAAGCAAAAAGTAGAACCAGTCAACTTCATAATATCGCAAACAAAAGCAACAAGTGAATGTTGTGGCTAAAGAGCCTTTATCAGCACATTACCTAAATCTACAGTACCACAAGTGCGAACAGGAATACACAGAATCACTTAGCTGATGTATCTCTGTTAGAAATCACATTTGAGTGTATAGCCAGTAGAATATCTGACACATATGTGGCCTCCGGAAATAGATACTGTCCAAAAAAAGCCGTATGAGACAGTGCCATAGCTCAAAGGTATTGGATAAAACAGAAGGGGTGAATTGGCGCCCTAAGAGATGGGTATGTAAAAACATAAAAATGAATTTTTTTTTAGTCTCTCAGAAGTGCTAAAACATTTTTCAGACACATACATGCAGAAAGCTCGTAAATCATACATGGACTCCAGGGCACGGCGTAACCTGGGCCAGATAAACACAGAGCTACAGGATGTCCAGAGGATCATGGTTCAGAACATTGATGATGTGTTGATGAGAGGCGAAGCATTATCAGGTGAGTTGTCGCTTTACAGACTAGATGAGGTTTTGTAGACAAATGTTAAGAATACCGAGTGAATAATGATGCTGTCAGATAAATTATAATAAGGACACCTTGTACAGATTCAAAGAGAAACAGCAGATCAAGGGGCTTGGCCATCTTGTTAGAATGCAGCAAGATCAAATACCATCACTGGCACTACATCTCAGAAGATCAGCTACAAGAGCAAGAAAATGCCCATGCATTCATGGATTGACAACATTAAAGACACTCTGCACCTTCACGGCATGACTCTAGCCAGCGTGCACTGGATCACAAATTATTCTCCCTACGAAGCTTAACAATTGAAGTGGTTTATGATGATGATGAGAATACCCTAGACTGATAAAAATCAAAATTCTTTGGTCATTTAATCAAAGGGATTAAGCTGGGGTACCTCATGATGGTGACACGGTTGTAGGGAAAAGAGGAAGAAGGAGACAGGGAGAGAAGATTCTGGACAGTTTAACATCATGGCTTAGAAAATCAGTGTCACAGTTGATTGAAAGTGCAGATCATCTGTGTCAGAATGGATTGAAAGTGCATGAGACAAAAGTTTGTGGATAGACATGTCTGCCCATGCAATACATCTTGGACTATGGCAGATCATCTGTGTCAGAATGGATTGAAAATGCAAGAGACAGAAGGTTGTGGATAGACATGTCTGCCCGTGCTGTACATCTTGGACTATGGCAGATCATCTGTGTCAGAATGGATTGAAAGTGGATGAGACAGAAGTTTGTGGATAGACATGACTGCCCATGCTGCACAGCTTAGACTATGGCAGATCATCTGTGTCAGAATGGATTGAAAGTACATGAGACAGAATGTTGTGGATAGATGTCTGCTAGTGCATACTGCTTAGGTTATAAAAAGAATAATATTGACATTACTTCTTTTGCTCTCCATTTCTCCTTTAAGATTGAACCTTTGGCCCTGTAACAATCTTCACAAATGACCTTTTCACAAAGCATGATAGAAGGAAACACATCTTGATAATTCTCTGAAATCCTTCTTTAAAAAAAAACTAGAGGGAGAGAAACAGCAAAAGAATGTTTAAGTCTTGGTCTCTATTTATAAAACCACCTCCGGGGGTTCAAACTTATGACCACAGAGCAGACAGGCCAGCCTGCTTGCCAATGCGATGGTGATAATGATGGTGGGGATAATAATGATGGTGGTGGTGATGATGATGGAGATAATGATGATGATGGAGATAATGATGATGTGTTCTTTCTGCCACCAGTGCTTGACACCAAGGCCAGTAACTTGTCAGCCCATTCTCTCAAGTACAAGAAAGATGCGAAGTACCTCAACCTGCGTTCATCGTACGCCAAAATTGCTGCCGTCGTTATTGTAGTCATTCTTTTTCTGCTTTTCATTCGCTACTGGATTTTATGAACATAGTATTGGTGATGTAAATTTACTTAAATAACTAGTATTGTATTGATTTGGAATGTTTATTGCTTGACTGCAGATGCTAGTGATGGTCCAATTATGTGACATCTCTTTATAGAAGAATTCTATCATCTTGTGGCACTTTTGTGCAAAATATTTTGTTTACAGTCTGGTCGCAAGGACTTTCAGTAACTGATATTTTGAATAACAATGTTTTATCCTTACTTGAGTCAACAGCAGGCGTCAGTGGTTATCCAATTATGTTAAATCTCTTTACCAAATAATTCTAACATCATTATCTGCTAGCAGTTTGTGTGCACAATGTTTCTTTTACAGCCTGCTTCACAAATCTGTTTGAAAATCAGACAGGTGCCTATTCGGGATACCCTCTTCAAAGTGTATAAAACAAATATTTGGGCCACCATTGGCTACACAGGGAGTCCAGACCAGACAGGGAGAAATTCCCTCTGAAACAGAATAAGAGATGCCACAATGTTACATGTATCCTGGAATGTTGTGAGGCATAAATGGCCAGAGCAAGTTAGCCGCATTTGTTACTTCTTGAGCTCATCTCATAGTCTTTTATTGCATTTACATGACAGCCTTGTTGGTGATCAGCATTTATGTTTTGTGTTCTTGTTTATTTGTTAATAGTGTTTCCCTAATTATTTGTTATTTATTCTTTTCATATTTACTTATTATTTTTACTTTTTCTTGTATTTATTTTTTTCATTTATTTGTTATTAGTTTGTTTTATTTCTGTTATTAATTTTAGTCTTATTAAAAAAAATTTTTTTTTTGCTTATTATTTTTGTGTTTTTTCCCCCACTGGCAAAGTTTGGTGACCTGAGAAGCAGGGACACAAAGGTAGAGTCACATGTCGGATTATTTGAATCAGATATAATAAGCAACGTAGCATAGTGGCCAGATAATTGCCTGCTGGCTCAAAGGTCTTCGGTTGAAATCCAAAGTCCATTTTTTTTTTAATTGTTTTTGCTGTGATTAGCAAAATGTGAGACAGAATGTAGTGGAGAAGCATGGAATTGTATGCCAGGTAGAGAAAATGAGAACAACTCGGAAAAAAATAATCTTGCTGAAGCAAAAGTATATTAATTTGTTGGTTGATTATTGTTCTATTTTGTTACTGATAAAGTTAGTTGCATATCCTTTACAGGATGTTGCATAACCAACCCTAGTAATTTTCAGCCTGGTTTTGGTTTTACCATGCAATTTCACGTTCATTAGTTTGCCATTGCTTTCTTAGTGATTGGCTCTCGATACTCCTGTTAATATCAGTGCAAGGCAGTCTGCTGTCAAATTGCCTGCAGCTGGAATCATTTCTGATATAGCAAAAGAAGTTTAGCAATAATCTTTGTTCCCTTGGGTATGTGACAGGAAGGGCTGTCATGTAGTGGCTAGACCCTTTGCCCGCTGGCCCAAAGGTCTGGAGTTTGACTCTGCATGGAGTCTTGTTTTGTATTTGTTATTTTTAAAACTGACTTTGTCTTCCAGGTCAGCCCATTCTGAAACAGTACTAGTTATTGTTCTGGGATGAAGAGGCAACTGGCATTTTGTTGACCACACCAACCATCAAGTGCCATTTGGCCTAGAAATATGTTTAACATTGCATGTCACCGTCACAACAGTGTTTTTTTTTTTGGTTTTGTTTTTTAGAATTCTTCTTGCTGTGATGAGCAATACATGAGATAGAATGTTGTGGACCCAGAAAAGCTAAACCGGTCAACAAATGCCAGTAGAAGTCGGCCAAAAGGTGCAAATATCACAGCTATGCTGTAAACGAGCACAATGCAATTACATCAGATGAAGAAAAAGAAGAATGTTGTGGACAGACCTGGAAGTGAATGCCACACAGTATAGACAATCCAACGGCCAAAAAAAAAACCCAAAAAAAACGCACGCGTGCACGCACATACGCACACACACTCACTTGGCTACCATATTGAACCAGCCTCAAATGCGTGTCAGGTAAAGCCCTGGGAAGTAAAGGCAGCTGGCAGCATGTTGATCACATCACCCATCGAGGGCTGATTGTTTTATAAAAATATGAAGTGCTAAATACACTATAAAATGCAACTAGGAAGCTCAGACGAGGGAATTGAAAAGACCGAAAGTGGGGGGGGGGGGGAATATGGATATGAAGGGCTATATTATAAAACTTCTTGTGTGAGTTATGGGGCCTCACCATGGCGAAGACAAGAATAGACCCGCTGTCTCCCCCACCAAGCATGTCATATGAGTCAACTAATGGGGTGCTTCCTTCAAAGACTGCAGCAAAGAGCAACCAACTGCACACAAATAAGCCAGTAAAATGCATGTACAGACAAAACTCAGGCCCTGGCACAAGACCAAATTCTAAATGAACGAACAGCCAGGACTTTCTGCTTTAGCTTGCAAGCAGTGAACAAAGAAGGAAAAGAAATTATTTTTTTAAAAAGTTTGAAATAATTTTTTTTTTAAACAGGGGAAAAGAAACAATTAAATATAGCTATGTTGAATATTGAGCACGGGTATCCTGAGGATCGTGACTGTGCTGCCTTAAGCACTCTGAAAGTAGTAAATACAGGCAGTAAAGATAAGAGTGGAAGCCTATGCTTTATTGGGAGATAAAAGACAAAAGTAATATTTATTTACCCTGCTTTTGGACGTAGTTCAGAACAAATGACTGACATGTTCAACCCTTTTGTTTATGCTGTGATCTAGTGTGTATATGCATTGTCTGTTTTATTATAATGATATTTGTAGCATTTAAGACATTGACAGAATCATGTTGTGTGACAGTTGACAATCATTAAATAATTAACCTTCAACCGTCTGTGTTGTTTTGTTTCATTATATCAAGTAACGAATAGCCATCTCTCGTATTTCAAGAAAATGTTATTGAGAATCCACTGATGAGTTGAACAAATGAAGGAATAAACAAATAACATAACATAACCCTTGACCCCTTAGGGTTGTGGAGATGTATTATTTGATAGAAGCATTAGCGCAAAAAACCTGCCATCTTTGTCTTCTGCTTGATGAATAAGTGTATGATAACTTAGTTCTATCCACTTCTTGATGTTGTCATTCCAGGTTCTTCTTTGCCCTCCTCTTCTTCGACTACCCCCCAATGTTCCTTGAAGTGCAGTCTTTGCAATCGAATCATGTCTCACCTTGTGCCCAAACCAAGCTAGATTGTTACGTTTAACCACTGCCAAGAGGCCCCTGATGTCCCACAAATTTGTATATTTTGTCTCTGACATATTTATTAGTTTTGTGTTCTAAATAAATAATTCCTAAAATGTGTCTGTAGCATTTACATTCGAAAACCTGAACCCTTTTTTTCCATTTCCACATTGAGAGTCCAACACTCACATCCTTATAAGAAAATAGACAATACCAACGATTGTATGGTCGGTCAGTGCGAGGAGAATATAAACATGTAGAAACAGATTTGGTTACTTGGAGAAGATTTGGACACCACTAAGCAAACCATTTTCCCACTGAAATGTATGATGGGTAATCGGCACAAGAACCCCAAAACAAAAACAAACAAATGAGCAAACAAACGAATCAAGAAATCACATTCCTGCACTAAGGACATCCTCGGATGTGTTCTGTCTCCTTCCCCAGTAGCCAGTGTTTCCACACGGATGGTGCCAGTGACAGTGTGATTGAAACTCCACTGGTCCTTTTCCCTGTATATTTACCGCTGTCCAGACCCTCAGCCTCATCAACTTTAGGTGTCATGATGGTAAGCGTAGGCTGTCATGTTTCACCATCTAGTACAGTCCCGCACTATCTCCACGATCATGGATCACATCTCCCCCCCCCCCCCCCCCCTGACATTTACCCCCTCACTCTGAAGATTCATAATTTGTGTAACTGAAGAAAGTAGGTTGTTATTGCTTTCCCTCTTGGTAGTGACCGTACTGGATGGGTGACCATAGCTATTGTCACTATAGTGTCATCCTCTGCTTACCATCTGGAACCTTGAGACCTTGCCCAACAACTAATCTGTCAGCTGCTGTCAATGAGACCTTGCCCAACAACTAATCTGTCAGCTGCTGTCAATGAGATCTTGCCCAACAACTAATCTGTCAGCTGCTGTCAATGAGATCTTGTCCAACAACTAATCTGCCAGCTGCTGTCAATGAGATCTTGCCCAACAACTAATCTGTCAGCTGCTGTCAATGAGATCTTGCCCAACAACTAATCTGCCAGCTGCTGTCAATGAGATCTTGCCTAACAACTAATCTGTCAGCTGCTGTCAATGAGATCTTGCCCAACAACTAATCTGTCAGCTGCTGTCAATGAGATCTTGCCCAACAACTAATCTGCCAGCTGCTGTCAATGAGATCTTGCCTAACAACTGATCTGTCAGCTGCTGTCAATGAGACTTTGCCCAACAACTAATCTGTCAGCTGCTGTCAATGAGATCTTGTCCAACAACTAATCTGTCAGCTGCTGTCAATGAGATCTTGCCCAACAACTAATCTGCCAGCTGCTGTCAATGAGATCTTGCCCAACAACTAATCTGTCAGCTGCTGTCAATGAGATCTTGCCCAACAACTAATCTGTCAGCTGCTGTCAATGAGATCTTGCCCAACAACTAATCTGCCAGCTGTGTCAATGAGATCTTGCCCAACAACTAATCTGCCAGCTGCTGTCAATTAGACCTTGCCCAACAACAAATCTGCCAGCTGCTGTCAATGAGATCTTGCCCAACAACTAATCTGTCAGCTGCTGTCGATGAGACCTTGCCCAACAACTAATCTGTCAGCTGCTGTCAATGAGACCTTGCCCAACAACTAATCTGCCAGCTGCTGTCAATGAGACTTTGCCCAACAACTAATCTGTCAGCTGCTGTCAATGAGATCTTGCCCAACAACTAATCTGCCAGCTGCTGTCAATGAGATCTTGCCTAACAACTAATCTGTCAGCTGCTGTCAATGAGATCTTGCCCAACAACTAATCTGCCAGCTGCTGTCAATGAGATCTTG